CCCATGAAGAGCTACGTCAACCTGCCCACCGCAGCAGCTCGGGCTTGACACCTGGCACTCTCCCCCAATGGCTCTCAATAAAATCAGCCCCTCAGCTCTCACTTGTCCTACAGCATCTGCTCTGTGCACAACTGCAGGAGTGCCCTGATGGGATCAGTGCTAGCAGGCTCCGCGTACTGCTTGTGTGAACCTAGCCTTGGCACCACCGGCATGTTCAGACCCCCTAGAGTGTGGGTATGGGGCTGCTGACTCCCAGCCGCTGGGCTCGTCTGAGCCTTGGGCCATAGAGGTGGGGAAGGGGCTAATGAATTCCTGGAGTGTTAAATGGATTTGCCCTGTGTTCTGTCCCCTTCAGCATCTGCAGGAATCCTAGTCCATGCATCTTCCCCATTTCCCAGAGCCCTATCCACTGCAAGGGAACTGAACCTAACCTCCTGGGCCTAGCACGGTAAAGATCCTGTTCTCTGTGAAGGTGTGGGGGGCTGCTCACGGGTCAGAGCCTACCAGTTGGTCCCCCTCCCTACTGAAGTTACTGGACCCTTTCCAAGAACCTCGCTTCCTGGTGCTGGAGACGCTCCAGTAATCTGCATCCCTCTCCAGATTATGGCTGCTCTGGAGGGGCTGAATTTGGGGAGATAACCACTCCCCTGTCCTGTTGCCTGCAGCGATGATGGGGTTGCCAACCAGTTACCTACTAGATGTCCCACAGTGAGGTTGGAACAGTCCCAACATTCTCCTTTTGGGTTATGGCTGGATGGTACGTACTGCTATGGCTGGATGGTACGTACTGCTGGGCTGCCCTTCTCTTGAAGAGGAGATAGCCACTCTCATTGCATTTCCTATGGGGAAGCTGCCTTGGGGGACTTGGCTTAGAAAGCCATATGGTGCTGCTTTGGTACAGAAGCCTGGCACGGGTCCATGCTCCCACTGCTGGGCCTTTCTCGTAATCAGTTTCAACTGTAGGAGAGATTTGTCCCTGGCGACCTTGTCATTGTCCCTGGGAGAGAATGAATTTCAGGTGCTGGACTAAGGTCAGACCTGCTGGGATAAGCACAGTGAGTTGCAAGCCTAAATCCTTGTCCTGGAGTGACAGGGACATGGGTCTGTGCCCCGATGGCTAAGAAGCCTGAGACGTGAATGGGGGCCCTTAAGGAGGTCAGGAAGGGGATCAGAGGAGCGGTTAACCCCAGAACTGTGATACCCAGAATCAAAGGGGAAAAATCCATACAAAAAACCTGGCCACCTGAAATGCAGAGATCCCAATATAAAATGAAATTTTGGGGACTGGGGGAGTCGGGCCTCCCCACCTTGAATCTACAACAGGATTCCCTCCTGGTAGCTGAGTCCAGTAGTCGTGTCCTGTAAGAGGGAGGGA